TATTTTCCAAATCTCTTCTTAGAGTTTGTAATTTCAGATGACGTACCTTGTCACTACCCTGGTATTTTTCCTTAAGAGTATCCCACGCCTCCTTTGATGTCTGTGCTCCGCTAATTCTCGAAAACAGGGACTCTGACATGGCCATTTGTAGTGTGAAAAGGGCCAAACTGTCTTTCTCCTTCTCCCGGTCGAATTTTTCTTCGGCCGCCGTAGACAAAGTGGAAATGTCATCGGGTATAATATACCCGTTCTCGACAATATTCCATAGGCCTTGAGACATAAAATATGTCCTCATTTTAATGGCCCAATAATTATAATTTTCGCCGAAAAAAATAGGAATTGCTATTATGGGTGTTTTGGGAAGTGGCCATAATAAAAATTTAGAAGACTGTATGAAAGTAAAAGGATATGTGAAAGTAGGTTATTTGGACAAGATATGTAAAAATAGGAGGATATTGGAAAATAATTTCGCCCAATTATTGATCCAACCGGGCTTTGATACCACTGTTGGTATCTAAAAGAACAATATTTATTAAATAAATATTAATGTTTAATTATATTTGAGAAGAGAAGAGAGTAGTATAGATATGAATGGAAAATATATAAATTTGTGAGTGAGAAAATTAGACAATGCTTTACTATTGGAAATAGCAATTCTTATTCTTGCTTCTTACTATCAATTCACATGCATAACACACATATTTATACTACTTACAAGAATACTCTAGGCTCTAATTATTACAACAATTATTTGACCATTATTACAAAGCCAACTCATGACAACTATTATTGATCATTATGACAAATTGACAACTCATGACAACTATTATTGATCATTATGACAAATTGACAACTCATGACAATTAATCAAATGAGCATAATTTTAACATATTTCCACAGTTGACCCATCTCCAAAATTGACCGACCCTTTAACGTTTGTATCCATTTCAGCAAACTTTTCAATACTATCGGTCATGTGATTACTTGCGCCGGTATCTAGATACCATAAATTGTCTTGGTTGCCGTTCAACTTTGGCACCACTTTGTTTTCATGCTGTAGCAACTTTTTGCTCTGTATTTCATGACTGAGGATGCAAACTTCTGTCATCAAAAGTGTCGGTTCTTCATCTGATTGTGTTGAAATAAGATTGGCTTGCTGCCTTTGGTTTGGTCTTGGACAATCCTTTGCAAAGTGACCAAATTCATTGCAATTGTAACATTTTACCTTGGATATGTCAAAATTTCGAGCTCTCCGCTCAACACCAGTGCGATCGCCATTTCCTCGACCTCCATCTTGACCACGTCCACGTCCCCGACCTCTTCCGTGATAGCCTCCTCTTTTAGTGCTGTTGAAATTTCTATCTTTCTTCCCTTTTGCACACTTAGCCTCCCACTCAGCCTAAGTGAGAAGTAGTTGTTCTCCACTGTCCTTTGACAGCTCGGAATAGCCTTCCCTCGAGATCATTTAGTAGATAAAAAGCTCCGAATAGCCATCCCTCGAGATCGACCCGAGTCGGGTAACTCGGTTATCCCTTGCCCACCAAATCTTTACTAAATAGTAGGCCTAATTTACCCCCAACTTTATAGCATTCCCATTTTCAAATTGTATTAAAGCTTCATTATATTTAAAACACTTGTAGTAGCTAATTAAATTCTTCCATTTTATTTATCACGCCATTGTCAAAACATTTTTTTTCAACAAATCTATTACTATATAACTAGTGTGGTACCCGTGCGATGCACGGGCTAGTTTTATTATGGTAAGCATTTAGATTGGATGAATGAAAAAACGTAAAACGCATACATTAGACTAAACAAAATGTAATTTATATATTAAGAAACGCATTATTGTATACAACATTATTTGTTTGCCCTTTTGTTAAATCGTCTACCGCCACAAATTAAAATTTTCAAACACTTAAAATTCGTAGCGCGTGAAACATGCATAAAGTTGGTCGTGAAGGTTACATATATTAGGATTCTAGACAGGTTTAAATAAATCAATTAAATTATTTAGCAGGATATATCTTATATGTTTTATACTTGTTTTATACAGATTGCATAGCAAAATATAACGGATATCGTAAAACGTCTTTCGTGATAATCTATAGTTAATTTGAATTTTATATTGCCAATATATATATATATATATATATATAAATAATAGTAGTTTAATATATAGTTAATTTGAATTTTATATTGCCAATATATATATATATATATATATATATATAAATAATAGTAGTTTAATATGAAGTTCATTTATATGAGAATATGTGATTGTATTTTTTTCTAATTGAAAATTTTCATTCAGCCAATTTTTGTTTTCAGCCAGATTTTTCGAATAAAAACTGAGAAAGGGTTTTGATTTTAGGAAAACCGTAAACACTACCGAAATCTACCAAAACTAAATCTACAATACCCATCATTTTATGGTGCATTTAAGGGGTTAATAAATTAAAAAAAAAATTAAAAAAACTACCGATATGCAATAAATGTGGGCCGATTTTATGGCAACTCAATGATAAGGGATTTAAAAATCAAAATTTTATATTCGAAATGAGACCTAATTATTTTCAATTAGATTTTTTGAATAAAAAAATGAGAACGGCTTTTGATTTCTATTTAATTGAGAATGGATTTTGATATCTGAAATTTTCAAAAAAACACATCAACAAAACCCATCAATTTAGGGTGCATTTCTGGATGCCCGATTTCTTGGGTTAAGATTAAAAGAAAATTAAGAAACTGCTGAAATTGGAATGCGTTAAATGTTGGTTGATTTTTATGTTAATATTTTTTGTAAATAGGTTGTCTTTTTATATATTTATAGATTTGAAGACACTTACAATTTTCCTAAACTATTTTGAAAAAAAAAACATGTCTAAAAATATTAAACTTAATATATATATATATATATAGGGATTGGATCCAATGAGTACACATATTTAAAGTGTGAATGTGAGACTCATTCCTAGCCACTAGATTGGTACATGATGTGTGGCCAAGATTTAACTCTTCATTTAAATAATAATTCTTTATTTTTATTACTTAATTCTTTATTTTTATTATTTTAATTATCTAAATATTATTTTGACAATTGACCATTGACTTCGGCGTTGACCGTTGACTTCCGGCGTTGACCGTTGACTTACGGCAAAAAAACGTTGACTTCCGGCGTTGACTTTGGTGTTGACCGTTGACTTCTGGCGTTGACCATTGACCCCCTAGTCTACATTTTGTATGAAGTAAATATGCATACAGTACTATGCACTTAGTATGAACTAAATATGCATAAGTAATGAGTTATATATGTCATTCTTATGAACTAAATATGCAGCAATAATATCAACTAT